CGACCCGCTGCAGTGGAGTCAGCACCCGGCGTTCCCCTGCCCGCACCTTCCCAGGGTTCCTCTTTCCAGAGCAGCCCAAAGCCCAGGCGTCTGCCCCGCTTGCGTCCCCGAGTCGCCTCGGGCCCCACGGGCCTGCGCCTCTCTGGTGTTCCCTGAACCCTGAGTCCCTTCCACCGTGGGGTTTGGCTCGCTCCCCCTGCGCCCGTCTTGGACGTCGGCCCAAGACGGGCGCCCAGGACCTGGGACCTGCATCTCAGCTACAATGTCACCTCCTCAGAGAGGCCTTGCCCCATTCCACCCTTCCCGGGGTCTTGCTCCCAGCCTCACCTGTCATTCACCGGCGGCTTCTGCCACCAGAACGCCCCGACACCCACCTTGCTCATGGCTGAGAACCCGCGGCCCACCCGGCAGGGCCCCCCGCCCCCGCCCTCGCCCTGGCGGCAGGAGCTCAGTCAACACACTCGCCAAGCGAGGAGGGACTTCGAGGCTTGAGCTCCGTTCCCAGTCTGCTGGGGGGCCTCGGACTGGCCACGTGCCCTCTCTGGCCTCCTCTGCCCTCCAACCACAAGTGAAGGGGACGAAAGGCCCCCCAGGGCTCCTCAGCTCAGGTGTCTCACACCTGGGCCTCACACCTGGGCGTCTGGACAGACTGGCGGGAGGCGGGGGGAGGGGGAGCCTGCAGGGAACAACTCCCTGGGCCCGGAGGGCCACCTGACTTCAGTGACTTCCTGGGGTTCACGTCACTCTTCCCGTGAGGACTCACCGGGCGTGGCCAGCATGCGGGTCCCCAGGCCACGCACAGGGTGCAGGACACGAGAGACTCCAACAGGATTGGAGGCGCCGTGAAAACAGGCCGTTTGATCTGGACAAGCAAAGGATTATAACTGCCGGCTGGTCCTAGTTGAGGAAGGTGGACCCCGAAACCGCACGAATCTCGGCGGCTCGCACCCCCCGGGGCACTCTCTCTGGGTGCAGGGAGAGGATGTGTCCCCACAGGAGCCCCCCCACCGCCCCGGGAAGAGGTGCTCTGGCTGTCCCCAACGAGGAACTGAAGCCCAGAGAGGCTGAGCGGCGCGCCCAGCGTCACACAGTGAGTTGCAGGGAAGCCGGGCTGGAACAGGGTCTGACCTGCAGATTCCCAGACAGCCAGTATAAGGGGGGGCGGGGGCTCTGCTGGGCAGCGGGGTCCGGGCCTGTGCACACTGGGACGGGCCCCCGGGTCTCGGTCCCAACCCCGCTGCCCTGCGTGGCAGGGCCAGCTGCTCCGGGCACAGCCAGCCACCTTAGGGGCTGGGGAAGCAGAGATGCCACAGGCTCTGCCTGCCAGGCCCAACCCGGGCTAGGGGGTGGGGAGGGGAGGAGGCAGCTGGACCCCCAGAGAAAGGGGCCACCTAACTGGTGGCTTTGAGGGCTCCTTTGGGTGTTACGAAGTCAGCTTTCTACAGAAAACGTCACGTGGACTGTGCCCTGCCCGTGTTCGCCCCCAAGCATAGAAAGAGGCCGGAAGACTAGAACTAGGCACTTTGGGGACCCTGGGAGGCAGGGGGCCATGGGCAGAGGCCAGAGAGTAAGAGGCAGGAGCGAGCCAAGAGGCTGGGCAGGCAGCACGTGGCGGGACGGCAGTGGGGGGACCCACTTTCCCTCTGAGGGGTGCAGAGCAGTCGCCGTCGCCCGAGCCGGGTCAGGAGGAGACCCCCCGACAGCTCAGAGAGCTGTGGGTCTGCCACACAGGCCTGGCCCCGACCGTCCCCTCAGGCCCCCGGCCACGGTCTGCCCCACCCCACGGGAGGAGGGGAGTGCGGGGCTCAGCGTCCCCGGTCCTCACACCCCGGCCGGGTCAGCACGGGCCTGCCCCCACCACGCCCAGCCAGCCCCGAGCTGGGGACTCGGGGTGTTGACTCCGTTCAGCCACAGTTCAAAAGCAGCCCCGCCGCCCGGCACCAGGCCCGGCCTTAATCTCCCGGCCCGCACGCTCCCAGCTGGCCGGTTAAGGCGGTTAAGACGCCGGATTAGGGCCGGCTTTCCATAACAACGCGGGAGCTAAAGCCATCCTCTCCTGGGATGGCTAAAAGACTTCTTTTTATCTTCATGCCTCAGATGGCCTTTTTCCCCCTCCCTTACACAGCCCTCCAGCCCGCCAAGAGGCGATGAACTTGGCCAACGGGAAGACAAAGAAGAGATTCAGGATTCAAGCTCGTTCTCCCTGGGCCAGCGCGCAGAGGGGCGCCCCCAGCCCCCAGCCCCCCCACCCCCAGGCCAGGTGGAGGCGGCTCAGGGGCCAGCACTCACTGCACCTGCGCTCGCCGGCCCGGCGGCACAGTGGCCTGCCGGTCACAGCCGCCACATCCCCCACCCCGAGGTGGACACTCAGAACGCTGCTGCAGAACACCGGGCCGAGCCTCGCCCCCGGGCAGGCGGGCCCGGCACAAGCCAGAGCTGCCACTCCTGCTGCTTTATTTACTTACTGGTCTCACTTCTTCATTCTGCCCTCAGTCTTTCATTTCACGAGGAGTACACGATGACACTCTTGTCACAGTTAAAACTTGAGTTGCAGGTAACACTGCAGTCCCCTGGGACCGGCGTCCCGCTCTTAGGCCCTTCCTCCCACGTGCAGGACGCTGCTGTCTGTCCAGGCCACTGGCTCCACACTAACACACATATGTGGTATACACACACACACACACACGGAAACACAGAGTCCTGTCCGGTGCCGTGTTCACATAAGAGGTCGCACGCTGCCTGTAACTCACCGCGTCTTCCCGCAGCCTGCCCTGGCCGCCCTGCACTGTGTGCTCCTGGCAAGCTTCGATGTGGAAAAGGGACTGAACAACTGCACCACCACGACCTAGTCCAGCCTCCCGGGCTGGTGGCCCCCCACCCCTCCCTCGTCGGTGGCGGCCTGACCGGCTGGAACACCAGCCGTGACGGGCAAGGCGCCCAGGCTACCTGGGAGCCTGGCATGCAGCTGAGGGGTGGGGGGGGGGGGTCAGCCCGATGCCACCAAGCTCACTCCCTGCCCCAGACCCTGGGGCATCTCATATTCACCCGTCAGGCGTCAGCCCACGTGGGTAAGCAAGCGCCCACCCCACCGCGGTCTATCCTCTGTGAAAGGCGCCCGCTTCCTCTGAGCACCCACCGAGTCCAGTTCCGTGCCCCCGGTGTCCCTTCTGCTTCACCACATCTGGGCTCCTGCCCTGAACGCAGGCACGGACCCCAGGGACCCTCCCCGCCAGAGGGGGTAGGCCGCTTCCTGTCTGTGTGTCGGGGCGGGGGGGCGGGGAAGACAGCTCATCTGAGGTCAGCTCCACGATTTCAGGCTGAGCCTCAGGGACGGAGGAGGGCCGCACCTGGGACGTTGCCGCAGGACGCAATAGAGGACGGGCAGCTGAGAGAAGATGGAGAGGCAGAGGGACGGGCGGAGGACGATGGCTGGGTGACAGGGAAGGGCTGGCTGATGGCCAGGTGAGGGCTGGAGGGGCGGTTATGGGTCAGTCTGGGCTGGCGGGCGGGTGGATGATGAGATGGCATTGGACAAATGAGTGGACAGGAGGGTGGACGGACAGGACAGTAAGTGGGGGGTGGAGAGAGGGGTGAACAGCAGAAGGAACTCGCCAGGAGGCTGCCCCGAGAAAGAGCAGAGGAATGGACGATGGAGTGAGTGCTGGGTCCCAGGTAACCCACGTCTGGGGTCAGCTCGGCCCCCGGGGCTCCATCCTGCACACCTTTACCTGACTCCCCGGACCTTCCCCAAGTCCTGGCACCTGTCTGTGGGGTCAAAGGTGACCAGTGGGGCTCGGGGGAGCGCCCACGTGCAGCCGCCAGCTCCGCAGGCAAACACGGTCAAAGAGAAGGCCCCGCCGCCTGGACAAAGCCGTCTGCCCGTGGACTCCCCCCCTTCACTGAGGACCTGCTCACACACGAGCAGACCCGAAGGACACCCGGGCCCCTGCCCGCCTCCCGTGCAGCTGAGCAGCTCTCCCGAAACAGTGCTTCTCAAAAGGCAGCGTGAGCACATGCCACCTGGGAGCCTGGGAAAGGGGGGCTGGATCCCACAGGCCCGAGGTTCTACCTTTGTACCGACTCTCAGGCCAGGCGTGGCCACGGTCCTCAGGCAGCCCAGGCACCCCTCCAGAGCCTGCTGGGACTGGCTGTTCTGCTGTCAAGGCCCCACAGGACCCCTGAGGCCAAGATGCTCCCCAGAGGCCCCTGGGCCCCAGCCCTCCCGCCACCTGCCCACCCCTCCCCAGCAGAGGGGGCCGCACTGCTGTCGGGCACCCCCCGTTCAGCGCTCCCCTCCTCTGAGCCCCAGCAGAAAGTGGGAACCCCATCCTGTTCAGCAAACACAGGCAGGTGCCGTCCATTCCACGCACCACCCGAGGGAGCCGTGCAGGCAAAGGCCCTCGTCCCCTTCCACGGGCACAGAGAGAAAGGCCCAGAAAGGCCCCGTGGCTGGCCAGGAGCCAGGTGAGCCTGCCAGCAGTGACCAGTCCTCCCCACAGCAGCGCCCTAATTCTTCCCCCATCACGGCGCTCCCCCTTGAAGGAAGGTGGCGTGGCAGCTACGCAGAGGCAGGTGAGGGCTGGTGGGGTCTGCGTGTGCCCACTCTCGTGTGCTCCGGGGGATGGAGTGGAGGGAGAGCTGGGAGATGCCACAGCTCCCCGAGGGAGTGCTGACGTCATGCCCCAGCCTGTGTGAGGCGCCTCCACGACCACCTCCCTCCCAGTGGCGGGGCCGAGGACAAACAGCCCACCCAAGTCCCAAAGCTGACACAGGGCAGGGCAGGGCCGGGGTGTGACCTCAGGAGGCCTGGCTCCTCGCTGGGCCTGGACTGGGGAAGCCACACTTCCCTCTTGGGCCCCAGCCCCACCCAGCCCCACCCGGAGTCCTGTCCTCCGCCTGGCCTGCAGATTTCCCTGCACAGTACGCAGGGCATGTGGTAGACCAGATGGCCCCTTCCCCACCCCACGGCCTTCTGGGAAGGAAGTGATGGATTCTAGTACCTTCCAGTCGAAAGTCTTCCTCTTCCTCCTCGCTGAGTGTTTCTCGGAACACCTCGCCCACGAGCTCCTGGAGGAAGAAGACCAGACAGGGACATGAAGGACGTATCGGGGTCAGCTAGGCACGTGGCACTGGGACAGAAAAGGTGGCATCGTGACCCTGAGCCAGGCTGGTCACAAGGAAGCAGGGCCCCTGTTCTGGTGGTTCTGATGGGAATTTAGGCCACCCGAGGCGGAGCCCGTCAGCCCAGAAGAGTCGCCGCCACTCTGCTCTGCAGGAAGGACATTCTCTCCGCCGACAGCCCACCATGGACCACCACACCTCTCCCACCCCAGACAAAGACGGGACTAGAAAACGTCCCTCATCCACCCCTCTGAGCAGACCCACGAGCCCGCTCGGGTGTGTACCCTTCCCCTGCAGAGGGTCCCAGGCGGGTGGGCAAGGTGGTTTGCAGAGAGAGAGGCTGGGGTGGGGGCTCTAGGGTGGGCTCCTCCATCTCCATGCTCTGGCTTCAATCACGCCTCCCGGGTCTCCCCGACACGCCCACCTCCAGTAACTGGCCCGATCCCTGCACACGCCCTGCCTGGTCCCTTCTGGGAGCTGAGGGAGCCTGGGATCTCATCTCAGAGGGCAGGGCTCCCCCTCCCCCGCCCTCCCCCGCCTGCTCAGGCTGCCACGTCAGGCTGGTGGGCGGCGCCTGGTTGGTCCCCGGGCTGGGAAAGTTCTGGGGTGTCCACCAGGGTCCCCTCTGTCTGACCCCAGCCCGGCAGGATGACTCCAGACAAAAGGCTAAGACTTGTTGAGCCGTCTTCTGTATGTATTGGTTTTCTGCCAAGCAGAGTTCTGTGATCAAAAAAGATGATTTCAAACAAAGTTAAACAAGGTCCCTCCCTGCAGGGCTTACTATGGCAACGGACACAGAGCACCCAAATAACGAGAACGTGGCAGCTTAGGCCGCGTTCCCGGGACCTCATCAGACCACGGAGTTTCGTGTCTCAGACGCGAGACGTGGGGTTTGTCTTCCGAGGAACCCGCTTTGAGAAACGCTCCCCCTTCGGGGGCCACAGTGGGCTTCAGGACATCGCCCTGGCTGCTCTCCCCTGGTGCCCAGCTCCCTCTCCTGGGGTGGCAGCGTGCCTCAAACTGCGAAACGAAAAGTGATTAAAAAAAAAAAATCCCCAACTCAGCAGCTATCACCAACTTCCCTTTTGGAAAAAAAAACAAAAAAAAGTGAAAAAGAAAAAGAAAAAGCACCCTCTCCTTGAAAATCCAAGGGAAGAAAAATATAAATCCTGCACCTCAGATGTTTCAAAGAAAAAACCAGGGTTCGTCTTGATTAACAACAACAACAACAACAAAATCGAGTTAAACACTTTCCAGTGCTTTGTGTAGTGGATCTCATCAACCGGACCCAGCCAGGGGGCGACGCTCCCATCCTGCTTGGATTCAAGGGCTGGTCCTCTCTGCTCTCTTTCTTCTTCCCGGGCGCTCTGGGGCACCGCCCTTGCACGCTCTCAGGGCGGTCACAAGGTGGTCCCTCTGACCCCCGCTGCCCCACTGCCTTCAAAAGCAGGCCAGCTGATTCCCAGGCTGGGACGGCTTCGCTCCCCCCTCTGCCCACTGCCATCGTCGCCGAACACGTCCCGAGCTTGTACACCGGCGGTCGGTGCCAGCGGAGCCGGAGTTGACAGGGAGCCGCATGGAGGCAGGAGAGGGAGGCACTCGGGCGGCAACCCTAGGCAGCCAGGCGCACCCCAGCAGCCCGGTAAAGCCGGTCTTGCACGCCAGGGGAAGACGGCAGGCGGTCCGTGCGCCCGGGAGCCAGTGCCTGGCTGCAGGGGAACTGCAGACCGCTGCACGCTGAGGTTGGCCGGAGAGCGGGGGGTTAGGGTTAGGGTTAGGGTTAGGGTTAGGGTCGCTGACCTCCGCCACAGCCAACCCCGGGGATGCCAGCTGCCGGCAGGGTCTCCGAGACTTGCTACCGGAACCCGTGGAGGAGCTGAGAGCCTGCAGACGTCACCAGCGATAAAGCAGCCGTCTGGGACCCCTCGATGTCGTCTCACAGGTTGTACGACGCGCCCACAGTCGTCATGTCGCTCTGACGGCGGCTTCCGTGCCCCCTGCGAAGACTGTCTGTCTGCTGGGAGGGCCGAGCTCTGGAACGTGTCAAAGCCGAGTCCCGGCCAGGCCACGCTCTGCCCCGTGTCAGCGCGTGGTCTCTGACACACTGCGGACGCTCCGGGACGCGCCCGGCGGCCCAGGGCCCGTGCGGGGCAGGGTCTGCGGCCCTCCAGCGCTGACTCGCTGGGCCAGAGGCGATGCAGGCTCTTGGGCCAGACCCAGGAGCACGTCCTGCCTCCGCGGCCTCCCTCGCCCCGCACCGGGGCCGTCCCCTCCTTCTCGGACCCTCAGCCCGCTTGTCTACTCAACGGGCACAGCGACAAACCGCAGCTCCGGTACTCCGCCAGCCGACACTTCCCGCGAACCTCTCAGGTGCGAGACGCCGTGCCCGGCACCTTATTGCCTTCAGTCCTTTCATCGCCCCAACGGCCCTGCCTTTCCCAAGGCCCGAGGAATAAACGCTCATAAAGATGATTTGCAAATTGTAAAGGGACGGGTATGATTGTTATTAGGTTTGTTCCTACAAACAAAGGGCCCTCGTCCCTCAAGGGCCCTATGAGGCGGGAAAATAACGCTGATGACAGGCACTCGCATCACTCACCAAGCACTCGGGGACCCCCCCAGAACCTCCACAGAAAGGGCTCCCCGCCAGCCCGGCGCCGAGGTGGCCAGGAGGTGACCAGGAGGTTCTGGGAGGCCAGCTGATGGGCTCTGGCTCCCCAGCCAGCGAGGGGCAGAGCCCCGATTCGCGCCGGCTCCAACGCCCCGCCTAAGCTTGTGCAGTGAAATCGGGGCTCCTGTGGGCACGGGGGCAGAGGTGGCCAAGAGCCCTGGCTGTCACTGGGGACCAAGGATCACACTTTAAAAAGTGCAAGAAAACCAGCCAGGCCCGCGGCTCTTACGGGTCCGTCGCCAAGTCGGCCTGTCTGCCCAGAGGGTCTCCAGGCTCCCCACGGCCCTCCCCCACGAGGTGTGGGACTGGGCGGAGCCCTGCGGGGAGGAAGGCACTCAGGCCCCTGACGCAAGGAGCCACATAGGGAGCCTCGGGTGCGGGGGGTGTCGGGGGTGCAGGGCATGGAGCCGGAGCTGCTGAGACCGCAGTGCAAACCCCAGCTCTGCCTCTCATGGGCCGGGGCCCCTTGGGTGGAGGGACTTCTCTCCGACGGGTGCCCAGGACAGACAGCGCAGATGAGGTCTCGGGGGCATGTGAGGGTTAAGGAAGGCAAGCGCTCAGCACTGTGCCCGAGAGAGCGGTGTTACTGCTTATTATGTCCCCTCTCGTCGTCCGGCGGCCGCCAGGGCGTCGCTGGGAGGCGCTGGGAGGCTGGCCAGACCCACGGTGCCCCACGGACACCTGCACACGCGCTCCCAGGGCTTCGCATTTCGTCCTCGCGGCCACCCATTGAGGCAGCACCACTACTAGCCCCACTTTACAGATGAGGAAACTCAGGCCCGGGGTGGGGTGGGGGGAAGGACTCGTCCAAGGTCACGTGGCTGGTGTCAGAGTCAGGACGACAGGCAGGCTGTCTGGCTCCGGAGCCCACACCCTTCACCACCGCCCTGTAGGAAGCCACCCCTTTACCCATCACCCGTCGTTGTCCCCCCCACCCCGGGGCCCAGGCCCCCTCTCCTCTGGCGTCCAGGCCGCAGGCTCTGCTCCAAGTCCTCATCAAAGGCCTCTTGGTTCCCCAGACCCTCTGCCTCGCCCCGGCCTGAGGCCCAGCTGCCCACCCCCGCCCGGGGGCCGGGCTCGTGGCCTCCTTCCCCCATCCCGGCGCTGGCCTCCTCCGCCCCACACGGGCCCCAGGCGGAGAGGCCCGCTCCCCTGGGCGCCACCCGTGCAGCCGGCACCAGCCCCAGCCCCGAGTCGCAGGCACAATGCCTTATAAGGCCGCGGGGCCGGGAAACCACATCAAAGCGGGGCTCTGGGAGTGGGCCGGAGTTCAGGCAGGGTTTTTCCTCTTTGTCTTTGCGACTTCAGCTTAGCTTGGTCCCCGCCGCCTGCCCCAGCAGCTCTCTGTCAATCCTTCTGGGCTCTGAGAGCGGGCAGACGCTGGGGCCCCGGTTTCAAAGGAAACTCCTGGCACCCACAAAACCCGCAGGACTCAGAGGTCCCGGGGATGTGCAGGGCTGGGACTGGCCAGCCGGGGACGCGAAGGCTGGGAGGCAAAACCCGGCCACCCTGAAGCCCTTCCGTCCGAGCAGCCAGCCGCCCTGGAGCCGCCCCAGAAGTTCCTGGAGAGCTCGCTCTTCCCAGCATGCCGTGCAGAGCAGAGCAGAACAGAGCAGCCCGGCTCTCGTCCCGGGAACCCGCGCCCCTCGGGCTGGCCCCGCTGAGAGCAAGCCGCGGCAGGCACCCAAGGGACAGCGGACGCCCCGCTGAACCCCGCTGGCTCCCACTTTGCTCTTCTGTAAGGGGGGGGTTAAGTGTCAGAGAAACAGAATGCCGAGGGCAGCGCTGGGTGCACAGATGGGGACACCAACCACAGCCCTCTGTCCCCGCCCTGGGGGCCCCCTTCACAGGTGCCCGGAACATTCCCACACTTAGCCCTGCAAGAGCCCGGTGGGCCGAGGCCGCGGTGTCCACCCCGGGCCCACACTCCCACGTGAGCCGCCGGGGGTCTCGTCGGAGGAGGCTGCCGGGCCGCACAGCGGGACGCCTCACCGCGGTTTGAAGAACCCGGTGGACCCGTGAACGCCGACACGCGGCGCACACGCCACACGCAAGACGGGGTGTGCGTGATGCTGCGTGCACACCCAAGGAAGCACCACACACACGTCCCTGCACCACGAGATCGCCCACGTGTGTGCGGCGGCTGCGGTCACCCCGGGGGGCGGGAGGGAGAAGACAGGTGGCGGGAATGGGGTGACGGGGAGACGGACGGCAGTTGGCTTCATCAGAACCTTCCTGCCTTTTCGAATCTCTGCTCCGCACGGCAGGCGCGTTG